AATAACGAGAAGAATAATAAACGGTAAAACTGTTTGCACTACAAACCAGTGTGTTCATAATTAAGATAATACATTCAAATAATACGGTAAGACACACCAGTTTGCAATATCAAGCAGCAAAACGAGCTGTTTTGTACAGCTAAATATAGCTGGAAGCGGATGAGACCGGAAGCCGGACACATAAAATTGACAAATGGCCGCACCCGTTCTTACGGGAAAAATAAGGTAGATAAAATAAATGAAATTATCTGAAAGATCCGTCAAGTGAGATCCTAATCTGACAGCAAATAATTCAGTTTGAAGGGCTTAAGGACAGACAAATAAACATGAGGCATTTAACAGCAGGTTTCTCAAAGGCAAAATAAAGACAGTGATTGTGTAACTGCACTGCAGCTCATGCATACCACTCTTACTTCACTTAGGCATGTGAATGTGTTTGGTGTTCTTACTTTAGGCTCTGGGGGAAACAAAGCTTTGCTCAGTCTGTACATGTTGTCTAGATTGACTTGTATGCTGGTGTTTGTGAAACGCAGTTCGTGGAAGCTGGTGGAATTGTCTTTTGGACAGATGTCACTCTCTCCTGAGAATGGAGAAACGGTGATGGTGTTCTTCATCTCAGACTGGGGAAGATTATCACTGATCCCACCATCCACATAACGCTGATGAGAAAGAAAAAGTGAGAAATATGAACTTTTAAGTTTCACTGATAATTGAGAATGAAGTAAAAATTATATTATTATAATTATATTACATGATTATATTATCTATCTATCTATCTATCTTCTTATATGTATTTTATGTAGGTTTATATATATATATATATATATATATATATAACAAATATTACATGCAGTCTCTATTAATATACAATATAATAATAGCTTAAAAGAATTTTAGCATAGTATGTCAAGATTACCCACAAACATTTACTTTGCCTCTCTTCTACTGTTCTTTTCAAGTTTCAAAGGCACACAAATGTTTTTAAATAAAAGAGCTTAAAGACCCACTTTTTTCATTTGTAATTTTTAAATATTAAATTTATAATATTTAAAATATTAAAAAATATATAACCACACATCCATCTTAAACCATCCGGCCTTTCTAGTGATTAAATGATAGCTAGCCAGACAGCAATACTTTCTTGATCCCTGAAGGATGGGAATGTATTGTTTGTAATGAGTCAATTGGGATTTGCAGGCTATTGCAAATGACAGAGTGGCTCAGTTGAGGGTGGGCTGATTCAGGACTGACCAGCAGTAAGTGGTGGTGTGATCAGACCAAAAGACTTGCATAACAGCCTTTATTTGTCCTTTAAAGGGGTCATATGATGCGATTTCAAGTTTTCCTTTCTCTTTGGAGTGTTACAAGCTCTTGGTGCATAAAGAAGATCTGTAAAGTTGCAAAGACTAAAGTCTCAAATCCAAAGAGATATTCTTTATAAAAGTTAAGAGTCAGCCACACCTACCTAAAACGGCTCGTTCTAACACGCCCCCACATATCTACGTCACTATGTGGAAATATTAGCATAATGCCGCCTTGTCAAAGGAGGGGACTTTGTTGAAAACTAAGCGTTTGAGAGAGGCGGGGCATAGAGGACCTAATGTACAGTATTTGAAAAAGAATGTGTTTTTTGAACATTAAAGCATGTCAACATATTCTGTTACACCAAATACACAAAATAATGATCTTTAAAATAGCATCATATGACCCCTTTAATAGGTCAACTTCACAGCCAAACTCTCCTCAATTAATCACTTTAGCCACAGCTTAATCTACTTAAAGTTTTGATAGATTCATTAATCTGGGTTAATTTTTCAATGCAAGTCATGATTAGTAACTGGCATGTGTATGAATACAGTATCATCTGTATTACCGAATAAAGTTGAGGAACGTAAAGAAACAATTATTCCATGTAATAACCAAATAATGAACAGCACTGGGTTGTAAATGTTAATACAAACAGAGCTGAACCTTTATTTGAACTGTTTGGCCTCTCAGCTATTTCTATACTGTACACTGATGTCTCCTCCCCTTTCTAAAGAACAAGTGCACAATGTACAGGCTATGGGGATGAGGCTGGGTTTATTCAGACACACTGAGTAACAGTTCTTCAAGAAAATCTTGATCAAAACCATAAGCATATTTAATTCTCTTATTGAGGCCAGTGTTAGTTCAGTGTGCCCCAGTGACTGAATTCTTTGAAGTAAGTGCAATGAACTCTTGTTGCAATATCCTAATTCTCCCATGTGAAATAAATCCAACTTTCCAGCCGTGTCTCCTCATACAATGCCTCTTGGAATGGCTCAGGTTAAAAAATGATATCACATCATTAAAGTTATGAACTTTAATACTTACCACACCACGGAAGGCAGGAGGGATTAAACCACAATATACAGGAATGAAACAGCTGCAAATAAGAGCCTGGAAATGAAGAAAAAATATCAAGTGAAAACAGAGAGAGAAAGTGAATACAGTGTTATTTTAGTACTATTTATATAGTATTACAGTTTTTTATTAATATTTAATAGTAATTAGTTATTAGTAACTTATTAGTATTTTTTTTTTTCATTTTAGTTTATGTTATGTTTAGCTATGTGTAGTTATGTGTATATTTTGTTATGTGCTATTGTCATTTTTTATTACTTTTTAAAAAATATTTCTATTTAGCTTTCATTTATTTTTCTTTCAGTTTTAGCCATTTTAGTACTTCAACTTAAACATATATTTTTATTCAGTTAGTTGCCAAATCAACACTTCTAATTTTCATTTAAGTTTTTAATTAGATTTTTTTCATTGAATAGGTTTTATTTGATTTTATTTCTGCCTTATTTCAATTAACAAAACACTATTTTCAATAGATTATTTTTTAATAAATAACTTAGTTAACAACAACAACACTGAGCTAAAGCAAACAGTAAATCTGCAGGTATTTTAAATTGCAAATTTAAAAAAATTGACCTTATTTTTAAGGAACATTTATCAGAAGACAGAGAATTATTGTGATATGTCATGTTATGGCCCCATTTAATCATTTTCATGTAGATAAAGGTATATAAAAGTGGGTTATCAGAGTAATATAAAGTGGTGACCTCAAATTCTGAGCTGTTTCTATGGTAACGCAATGCTCTAACCTGGATGAGTTCGTCTTTGGAGCTGAAGTCTGACACCAGAACGTTTTGCCCGTCCATGACGCGTGTGAGGGACACACACAGTCGACCAGAGGCCAACGTGTGTGCATTGGATGGCAGGTCGCGATACAAGCCTCCACGTATCACCTTGACTATGTTGAATGTTGGGTGCAAAGGGCCCAGATTACGCTTCCGTGCCTCCTTGGCAACATTGATGACGTCTTCACAACACTTCTCTACATCAGTGGAAAGAAACAGACCCAAATAATGAATTAAGCAATACACAGGCAAGATGAAAAGGAAGTTGAGAAAATAAGATGAACAAAAAATTACTGTAATGCAGATATATTGAACATTCTTTTTTTTACATCTTTGCTCTTGACAATACACACAATCTCTGAACCTGTAATAAACCAAAGGTTGATTAGAGTCTTTCTAGTTCAGATCCTAAATGAAAGTGAAAGAATAAAGTCATGCAGATATCACACAGACATGCACAAACATCACAGTTCAGAGTTCTTGGATAATACAACGAGAAAAACCCAATATTTTGGTTTGTCATTTAACTGACACTTTCGTACAAAGTGACCCACTATACCCTTTCTACACTTTTTTGCTTAAATACCCAATGGAAACAGCTCATGGATTACACATCCAGAGGAAGAGCTAAAAAATGAATGCAGACAGAATAGTTCAAATATTTTGGGCTTGAAAAAAAATGTGACATGAGAAATGAGGTCGTGAAATAAATAAGTTAACTGAAATAAATGTTAAATAATACTAAAATCACTAAAACTAAAAATATATCAAAGCAATATAGAAATATATAAAAATATTATAAAAGCACATAACAAAATTGAAACTGAAATTAAAATGAAAACATAAATATAAAAGCTAATTCAAAATATGAATAAATAAAAATAATTTTTATTTGTAACACACCTTTCACGCTAAATGAATACTATACTAGTATATAAATAATACTAAAATAACACTGCTTCAACAAAAACAATGGTGTTCACTGGTACATAAACTTAATAGCTAATTTGAGGTGTTTGCTCAAATTGTTACAAAAATATTTAAAATTTCATTTTAATTTTAATATAATTTTGTATGTATTTTTCAGAATAATAAATAGATGATTATTACAGGACAACAGTAAACCTTTCTCTATATATAAATATTTATGTGTATTATATAAATATTTGTGTGTGTGTGTGCATTTTGTTATCTATTAACCATCTATTGAGTATCTATATTTAACCACTACCACCCTAAATGAGTAACTTTCAAAGAGTAACTTTAAGTCAGCAAAATGCAGAAATGCCCTTAAAAAGAACACAATCACCAGAAGCTACAGAAGAATGACTCAAAAACCTAGTAAGATGCGAACAAAGATAGAATTTTTAAGTGTTCTTCTAGGCAGGGACTACCATGAGGTGATCTTCATACCTAAACATGCCTCGGTAGAGAGCACGGACGCAGTGAGAGCCCCCGCGGAGGCTCCGTAGATCTTGGTAGCCCCGCGGATGAGATTCGGTGCTTGCTCCAGGAGACAGCTCGCGACACCGATGTGATAGATCCCTAAAAACCCGCATCCAGCGAACGAGAGATTCCACCCACCCTTTAAATCAAACATGACTGCTGCAAAATCTCAGGCTGCTCCTGCAGTAACTAACATCATATCTTCCGTAAAGGCGTTTGTCTGTCTGTATACACTCTATGGTTGTGA